CGTAATACTCTAAGTACCATTCCAGATGTGTTAGCCAAATCCTCCCCGTGACTCTTCACACGAAGCATGAAAGGGCGATCGGGTGGAAGGAGGAAATGCCCATAGTGTACTTGCAAGGCTTGAGAAGTGGAATCAGGCGACTTCACTTCATTTACTTTGGGACCGTGCCAGTTTGTCAAGAGTCGTATAGCGGCAAGAGTGCTTTCCGAGCTTGATCTCCTAGGTGACAGAGAGTGGTGATTACGTCAGGTCCTGGCGCTGAAGAAAGTCTACACAAAACAACCACAGCGTTTAGTTCTTCCGTTGAAAATGAACACTCCATGCGGTGATCAGGTGAGTATAAACAGCAGTTGGGCGTCCTTGTCACCCTTGAACTCACCCCGCAGGCGATTCTCCGGCAGAAATATTCCGCGCCGTCAATCCCTTCACAGCGTAGATAGAGCGCCGGAAATTTAAATGGGTGGCGCTGACTAATGGCTGTACTGAGGCCACAAACAGTTCTCCAGATAAGCGACAGAGGCTTTCTTAGATGCGGGGACTCGCAAAAAGATACACATCGTCGCGTAGCCAGCTTATCTATATGACGCTGTATTTTCTTTTGTGTTCGTCTAGCCAATCTTCTATCATGGTTGGACTTTGAATGTTTGTAACGTCGTTCTACACCACAACTAATCACTGGAAGTTTCTCAAGTTGAAGGTCAAAACTAGTGCATGCTGAACTCTCCGTAAGCTAATGCGTGGTGGACTGTAGGACACTATATATTGCGTCATTTGGGTTCAAGGGTAAGCCCCCAACACACTATTCCCTGATTGGCTTGTATTTTAACCACTTGGTGCACTGGGTGGCTCTGGAGTACTTGAGACTGGGCAAACCATTAACCTTAAGGTATGTGGGCATGTGGTCACCATTACATGTTTCCAAAACCGAAAACCAGTGCACTGTATCGGCAAACGAATGTAACAGGAAAGAAGGTCCACGCTAATATACTGTACATTGATCTACACAGATAAGTAGGGCTGCCATCAATCACGACGCAAAGTTCGTATTCATAGGGGAAGGACACAATTGTGCTCCTCTAGTGTTGACCCTGGATCTTTCTCACAAGTAGCGGTAAGCATTGAAGTCACCAGTTATATATAACTCTCGGCTGGGGAGTCGATCTCGAAGCCCTTATTGTAAAATACTGCGCGCCCCTATGAAGATGCGATATAAAAATTCTGGTATCATTGCGTAAATGCTGGTCTGGCAGAAACTTTCGCTTGAGTGGTTGGTTTATCGGTGTTCTGCTAACAGCGAACGCTCGAAAGGCGATGGGTCGGGAGCTACCCCTTCGCTCGCAACCACTCAGCTATAACGTCTACACTCATTCAATCATTGTCTGTGTGCCTGGGAATAATGATGACGGGCATCAACAGCGGCACGTAGTCATTCACAGGGATGCGTCAATGGTTCACTGATTCGTTTATACGTGGGGTTTAACGTCCCCAAACCAACAAATGATTACGAGAGACGCCGTAATAAAAAGCTCTGTAAATTTTGAGCACCTGGGGTTCTTTAACGTGCACCCAAATCTGAGGACACGGGTCTACAGCGTTTTCGCCTCAATCGAAAATGCCACCGCCACAGACGGGATTCGATCCCGTGACCTGCGGGTCAGCAGCCGGCTATTTCACCCACTAGACCACACGCCGGGACATGCTTCAACGGTGGCCCACCGTGGTGGCGTAGTAGTGGCGGTACTCAACTGCTGTGCCGGAAGGCATGGGTTCGGTCTACATCATGGTCATCATCATCATCATCAGCCTGACTACGTCCACTGCAGGACAAAGGCCTCTCCCATGTTCCGCCAGTTAACCCGGTCCTGTGCTTGCTGCTGCCAATTTATACCCGCAAACTTCTTAATCTCATCTGCCCACCTAACCTTCTGTCTCCCCCTAACCCGCTTCCCTTCTCTGGGAATCCAGTCAGTTACCCTTAATGACCAGCGGTTATCCTGTCTACGCGCTACATGCCCTGCCCATGTCCATTTCTTCTTCTTGATTTCAGCTATGATATCCTTAACCCCCGTTTGTTCCCTAGTCCACTCTGCTCTCTTCTTGTCTCTTAAGGTTACACCTACCATTTTTCTTTCCATTGCTCGCTGCGTCGTCCTCAATTTAAGCTGAACCCTCTTTGTAAGTCTCCAGGTTTCTGCTCCGTAGCTAAGTACCGGCAAGATACAGCTGTTATATACCTTCCTCTTGAGGGATAGTGGCAAACTACCTGTCATAATTTGAGAGTGCTTGCCAAATGTGCTCCACCCCATTCTTATTCTTCTAGTTACTTCAGTCTCATGGTTCGGCTCTGCGGTTATTACCTGCCCTAAGTAGACATAGTCTTTTACAACTTCAAGTGCACTATTACCTATCTCGAAGCACTGCTCCTTGCCGAGGTTGTTGTACATTACTTTCGTTTTCTGCAGATTAATTTTAAGACCCACCTTTCTGCTCTCCTTGTCTAGCTCCGTAATCATGAGTTGCAATTCGTCCCCCGAGTTACTCAGCAATGCAATGTCATCGGCGAAGCGCAGGTTACTAAGGTATTCTCCATTGACTCTTATCCCTAACTGTTCCCATTCTAGGCTTCTGAAAACCTCCTGTAAGCACGCGGTAAATAGCATTGGGGAAATTGTGTCCCCCTGCCTTACACCCTTCTTGATTGGTATTCTGTTGCTTTCTTTATGAAGCACTATGGTAGCAGTTGATCCCCTGTAGATTTCTTCCAGAATGTTTATATATACTTCATCTACGCCCTGATTCCGCAGTGTTTGCATGACGGCTGATATTTCTACTGAATCAAACGCTTTCTCGTAATCTATGAAGGCTATGTATAGGGGTTGGTTATACTCTGAGCATTTCTCTATTACCTGATTGATAGTATGAATGTGGTCAATTGTTGAGTAGCCTGTTCGAAATCCTGCTTGTTCCTTTGGTTGATTGAATTCTAATGTTTTCTTTACTCTGTTAGCAATTACCTTTGTAAATAGCTTGTATACTACAGAGAGCAAGCTGATCGGCCTGTAATTTTTCAAGTCCTTGTCATCTCCTTTCTTATGTATTAAGATGATGTTAGCGTTCTTCCAAGACTCTGGTACTCTTCCCGTCAGGAGACACCTCGTAAACAGGGTGGCTAGTTTTCTAACACAATCTGTCCTCCATCTTTCAGCAGATCTGATGTTACCTGATCCTCACCAGCAGCTTTGCCCCTTTGCATGCTCTCCAAAGCTTTCCTGACTTCTTCTATCATTACTGGTGGGGTGTAATCTGGGTTACTGCTAGTTCTTATAGTATTAAGGCCGTGGTTGTCACGGCTACTGTACAGATCTCTGTAAAATTCCTCTGCTATTTTAACTATCCTATCCATATTGGTAGTTATTTTGCCTTCTTTGTCCCTTAGTGCATACATCCGACTTTTGCCTATCCCAAGTTTCCTCTTCAATGCTTTGACACTTCCTCCGCTTATTTAAGGGCGACCACCACATCATGGTGGTCGCCCTTAAATAAGGTGACATCGTGAAGGCCTGGGATTTCGATGCACGCCAAAGCGGGCTGTTGGCCGAAACTAACTGAAGCGCTCCAACATGACGTCTCTCACAGCCTGAGTCACTGATTCTCTCATAATCATATGGCGGGTTCGGGACATTAAACCCTAAACTAGGCTGAGTCACTTTGGGACGTAATACACCCGAACAAAACCACCTTCTATGTGCTTTTATTCAATGTACACATAATTTAGAGGTGAGGTTACACGTGAATTACATCGATCTTAAACAATATTCAACCAACTTTATATATAGCGAGTATGAGACGTATTCTCCCGTTGAATTAAACAACCGAACACAGTTCTAACACACTTCGAGAACGTATATAATTTCGCTCATGACTATAAGGACATGTGGATGCCTGGACGTTGTTTGCACAAGTAATGAAATCGCACACTGTGCATCTTTTGTCACGCTCATAACTTATTGAACAGGTCACAAAAGTCTCTTTACAACCAAAAATTAACCAATCGAAACAATCCGTGAGTGCTCAATGAATTCTTTTTAAACGTTGCATAAGTAATATTTCATTTTATTACAGAAATATACTGCCCCGGGTATAAATTATAATACATCACCTCAGGTGTAAATACTGCTGTTGTTGTTGTATGTTCGCCAGGCACAATGCTGCTATCGCATCAAATGAGGAATTACGGAAGCCTGCCGTGTTTCTCATAATCATATGGTGGTTTTGGGACGTTGAACCTTAACAATTATCACTGAAACCTGCTGCTGTTTTTCTGTTTTTTTTTAAGCATCTGCGTCTCCACGTGCCGGCATTTGATGATAAACTGTGAGGCTAAGTGCCCTTTTCTTATCTGTCACAAGCACTTCTTGGATTATAGGGTCAACTGTGACCGCAAGCGCATCAAGTGACCCTCAATAGCAAGATTACCTGCGACAGATAGCTGCGATCTCTCTCGCCACGCACGAAGCAATGAAAGTGCGTGCGTGTGTACTTCCTGCCGACGACTTATAGCTCTTGTTTCCATTACGCGGTCGGACTCATCACACATGCCTGGCTTGTTTCCGCCCGTATTTCTCACCAATATTTATAAGAGGTATTCAATTTCTTATCTATATTATCTATCTCTGAAGTGCAGTAGCTAATCCTGTATAATCAGTGTTGCAGTTCATTTATTCTGTCTCTTTATAGAACCAGGCCTGCATTTATCCACAGCACAGCAATGAAACGACAACGCAGCTGTACATGAAGGCAGGCACTTACAAGAGTTGATGGCACTTTGCAACCACCGAAAAATTTTGGTTGGCACTACAGAGAGAGCGCTTATCTTTTTGCCTGGTAGAAAGATTGCTGATGGTGTTTTTTTCTTTTCGTGAAACGAGGCGCACGCCTAAAAAACGAAAGGATCGCCAGCGCGTAGGTGCGCTTCTGATAAACACAACAGCGGAGCTTACCTTGATTGTCGTGGTGTTGCAGCGTGACTCCTATGTGCGCTGACTGTGTTCCGCCGTATTCCTTTCACGGGCTTTGTGCTCGGCTGGTGGGTAAATGTGGCTCTCGTCTTTCACTTCCCCTGACCGATAAAGAGACAGCGGAAAAGCCCCCTTTCCCGGCCGCCGAGAGACCAAAGGAGGAGCTCTATCGATTTATCAGCGCCATCTGATGCGCTCCCACTGAGCGAAAGCACCCCGGCGATTCTCTACAGGTGCTGCCGGCATACCGAAACATGCTGTTTGAGAAGAGCGCCGCCTAATTTTTAACCGCACAGTTTTGTACTCTTGTTACAGAACAAGAAATTCCTCTTCTAGCCATACAAAAATTTACGTGGTATAATTAGAGTAAAACGTTCCGGCCGATATCAAGCGCTGTGAGGATCCATGTTATGCCAAGCAGTCCCTTAGATAAAATTTATATATGCACCTATATCAAAATTCAATAATTGCCTATACCAGGCATTGGGCATATACGCTAATGTACGGGTAGCTGTGATACATGACCTCATAAGAATATTTTCGATATGGTCTTATATGAACGAATTTATTGTAAGAATACCAGCATTCTCGGGCTTTTTATGTTTCAATATATAATTTATATATGGATGACTGTGGTGTATCGATTCGGCTAACATGAACGTCATAAATTATAACTGTTAAAATATTTTTGCGGCTATAATGAATGATGCCGCAAATATCTACAGTCATTCTGAAGCTGTTTGCACACTTTATTGTTCAGCAAAATAAAATATAGCGTACTGGTTGTTACGTTGTTGAGTTATGTTTCCAACACGGGAGTTGTAAGCTGTTTGGCTAACCATTTATCAAATATTAGTCATCCTTAAACATTTATTGCTAAAACTGTAGTACTGCTGTTCAATAAAAGTATGTGGTCAGGACATGCCCTTCATGGCCAAGGTCGTTTAATGTATGCAAAGTGCGTAAACTTTTGCGTGATACAATCGAGAGAAATCGACCAAGAAAGAACGAAACGGTACAGCACAGGCCTTTCATTTTTTTTCGTCAATTTTATATCATTGTAGCGTGCAAAGAGTTTACGCGGCGTACAACCTATTGGCCCCTGCCCTGGCTAGTCTAGCAGTATGCAAATGATACACAAAGAACAGCAACAGGCACCTCAGATTCGGATAAATATATGTTCTAGGGTATGCAAGGGGCCTTTTTTCAAAGCAGTGGCCAGATCTGGCTTGACTTGATCTTGATTGCCCCCCCCCCCCACACCCAATCCTTGATTTCCACGCACAATGCTTGAGCTCGGTTCTAGATGGAAACATAACATATATATTTTGCATTCATCGTGTGATCGTTGCCGATGTCGGCTTTCTTAATGCTCTCGCTTTTAAAATACTAATGTCTGTCCTTGCCGTTCCCTAGGCAAGCCATTGATTGATTGATTGATTGATTGATTGATTGATTGATTGATTGATTGATTGATTGATTGATTGATATGTGGGGTTTAACGTTCCAAAACCACCATATGATTATGAGAGACGCCGTAGTGGAGGGCTCCGGAAATTTCGACCACCTGGGGTTCTTTAACGTGCACCCAAATCTGAGCACACGGGCCTACAACATTTCCGCCTCCATCGGAAATGCAGCCGCCGCAGCCGGGATTCGAACCCGCGCCATGCGGGTCAGCAGCCGAGTACCTTAGCCACTAGACCACCGCGGCGGGGCTAGGCAAGACATAAGCTGTCAACACCTGTGGCGCATATCCGCATACCGCAGCCCGTTTTATACGGGTATGTGGCTCATGTGCCTCAAGGATGGGGTTCGACGTTATACGCTTTTGAATTTCACAATAATAATGCGATAGCGTTAAATAGCTCGCTTCGCGGAAATTCCGGCGTCAGCGTCAGAGTCAGCGTCGGTGTCAGCGTCAGCGTCGTAGGAGGTAAGCGAAAAATCATCTTGTGCGTGACCAAAAATTGAGAAAGATGCAAACAAAAAATAACAAAAGTTACCGGGTTCAAGTGAGGAAAGTGCTCAGACATAGGTGTATCAGCCGGGTGGAAACCCAATGATGGAAACCCAAGAGATACAAGAAAATAATTACAGAACAATGATCATGCGCGCACTTCCGAACGTCTATACGTGCTTCGCAGCACACACAGCTACATCTATTGAAAAGCTGGTTATAATACAATTAAAATTTTAAAAAAGTCACATTAAAAAGTTCCATTCAGACCAGGCCAGCTCTTGGTACGCGTATAGGGGAGTTGACGGGGAGTCGTTGAAGATCTCGCCAGCTTTGTAGACGACGAGGGTGCCCGGAATTGCAGCCGTCTCAATACGTTGCACGGGTCACTACATACTCGCCGCCTACGCGAGCCTTGTGACACCGACAACCACGCTTCTTACTGGTTGTACGTCAACTGCCGATTTCGAAGCATTCAAAACTTTTTCGGGGCGTATGCGTGCTTTCTTACTCTCTGGAAGTCACTTCCTTTTCTTTGAACACATGTGTGCCCTCTTGGGTACAGGTGTAGGGAAGACGCGGCGGCGCTGTCACTGGGTTTTTAGTTACGGGATGTCGTCTTCTCAACACAAAGGCGCGTTTTCTTCGACGATGGGGTGCGCGGGCGAGACAAAAATTGCAGTCGATTGTGACACAGCCCCCTTCTCAGGAATATTGCTGCGTAATATTCAAGGAAATCACAAACGCACACTGTTCGAGAGTTTTCGGTATTCCGATCGTCCACCAACACGTTTTCTTTTTCGCGCACCATTTCCCTGACATGGACGACATCGCAGAGCACACACGACACACCACACTTTCACAGTCACTATACGATGAAAGTCACAACTCCCCACTACGTCGCGTCCATACACATACGAAAGGGAAATGACAAAAAAGCTGCGCACTTCAGAGGTAAGGCACGTAAGCATTATTTGATGCCACATACTCAAAAATACACGCTGTAAGCGGTATACAAAAGTCCCTTATTGACACGCAGCTTTCAAAAGAGATGAATGAGAAACAAATCGGCATGATCGCCTGTGCGCAGTTCCTGAACTTGCTGCACACTAAAGCACTTCCTTTCAAAATAATAATAAAAGGAAAGATTTGAAGAACATAGCACCATGTTTATCACACAAGCGTACCTAACGTGTTAGACTTCGATTATATGACTAACCGGTCGGTTTTAAAAAAACACAACTATTTAAATAACAATGTCCCTAAAACAAAGCTTCCCTAACTAAACGTGTAATAAGTTTAAACAACAGAATATCATCTAGAAACACAGAGACGACACAAGAAAATTAGTTATATAGCTAAGCGATTGGTCCCAACATTTATCAAATGTTTGAAAATTGAATGACAAAAATGAACATTGAAGCAAAAAATATTTCATTAGCCTTGAATGTTACGTTTACGTTTCGATGTACATATGCACAACTTTTATCCGCGTTCGATGTGACCGCGCTCTTGGGGGAGCCGTTCTAAGAATCAGCGCAGACAAAACAGTACACGGCCCCTACACGGACGCCTGTTTCCCTTTAGTCTACGCCCCGGAGGCATGCCTTCATCGACGCCTCATTCTATGAAAACGGGTCTCCGGACCACGTCGTGTCGCTCGGCCGAAAGGTGCTGCTTCATCATGTACACCGCGCTTCGAGCAGGACAGTGGAGCGAAGGTGGTTGGATCTTCCGAGCTCCACGAACAAATTCCTGCCTCATCCTTCTATGCGTCGGCCGGTTGGGCGCATCAGGACGCGCTCGACTCTCGAATGCCACAAAAGGCAAACAAAATTTTGGTTGCGTTGTTTTGCGATTCTTGTTTTTCTGGGTGACTTTGCACCCTTATTTTCCCTCCTGCTTTTGCGGCGTCTTTTTCTCTTTGCACGTTGCCCAGTGCTCGCTTTCGAGAAGTTCGCTTGCATAATTTGCAGAGCAAAAGTTGTCTCTTCTGCCTCGTCTGCTGTGCTGTCTATACAGCCGTGATTTTTCTTCAACTTGCGGACACCCTGACTTGCGGGAAACTCTACTGACGGCTGAACAATGCAAGCGTGTTCCTCAGGGCTGCACCGTTCGCACCTGAAATAACTACTTGCCTCCCCATTACCCAGCTCACAGCGTGCGTCAGCACACGACTCTGTCCCGCTGTCTGCACAGGGATCCTCACCTGCCGCACCGGAGGTACTGCGAGTTTTACAGTTAGCTGCCATGGCGACGCACATACAGGGTGGCTGTGCCAAGGCAATTACAGATGGCATTTCTGTATCAACAAGACTTTCCAGGCACAGCGCCTCGTCGCCATCACTGCGGCCTTTAGTGGCCTTTGTGGTCACAACGGGACTTCGAGCAGCCAACTCATTAAGTTCACTCGTGAACTTGATGTCCGCCTCAACAGTATACTATTATTCTGGCCGGCTCTTAGCGGTTTGGCACATACGGGCTCTTTGCCCCTTCCGTGCCTTGCATCCCATGCCTCAAGCACGCGCCGCCTACTTTCAATTTTCTGGCACAATAGCTGAACATGATCAAGGTGCGACTGCACCAACTTTTTCGAACTAGCGTATTTCACAGGACTGGAAATTATAGAGGCTGAGCTACGATCCGACTGTATGGTACACAGTCCAAGGCGTTCTTTCTCCCTCTGAATTCTAAGTCTGGATTTCTCTCTCTCGTGTTACATCGAAAATTCTAGATGTTGTCTATGCTTAGAGCGTTCTGCATCGTGCTCCTCTTTAAGTATTTGTAGTTCTGTTTCGACAAAATTGTACAGCTCCTTGCCTACAAAACCAAAGGACTTGCCCGGTTTGATAAGCCTTTCAAACTTCGTGTCGTCCATTGCTACAAACAGTTGTTGACCAGCAAAGCAATAACAGGACGGCTACATACTGAACGCTCAGGGTTCCATCAGTCTCCCAGAAAACACTACGTGGCTGACCGATTCTGTCGTGGACGCCAGATAGTGTCACACACTTCGGGTGAGGCCCCACCAATCTGGCATCGACGTGCGGCAGACTCGCAGGCTTCCACTTCGCGCTTCGGCCTGCGACGCCTGAAATGCCTCGAAGTGGTACATCTCAAATTTATTTGCAGGTCGGTCTACTCGTGCGGGGTTGCACGTGTGGTGATGTATGGGCCTGACTGACGCAT